GTCAAGTGTTTCGGAGTGACTTGGGAGGAAAAGTTAAGTGATTATCGGAGTAACGCCTTTCAAGCACAATTAGGGGTGTGGTGTTTTCCGATTAGATTATTTATCAGCCGATAGGTTCATCGATTTTTTTTTTTTATCACAACAAAAGTAACACGGTTCAACAAAACCGACCTCACTTTATACACTTTTTGATGCTGATTTTAGGTGCATTTACAAAATTTCTCTTGAAGTCCTGTTTTTTAGAAAAAAATTGTTGAAGTGTCAAAAAATGGCAAAAATGTCATATTTAAAATTTATTTTTAAATAGAATTTGGACGTAGTTTTCCCGTAGAAAAAACCCACCTATTAATGAAAATCCAATTCGCCTAATGGATTCTACCTCATATCGATGAGTTGATTAGAAATGAGTGAAAAATTAACAAAAAAAAACTTAGTTCTTCAATAGCATGCACTTCTTTCCACACACAATACCAAAATTTTAAACTTATTTCTTAAACAAATGCACATTAAAAAAAAACCTATATCTAAGATTCATGATTAGCCAGTCATTTGTCTCTTAACACTTTCCGCGTTCTGGAATCCTCAAACATTTTTTGTGGATCGCATTATAATACTCTCTCTCGGCTATGACAGGAAGCAGCGGGCTAGCTAAGAAAGCGGAAGATACAGTTGTGATGCCAAACTCTTCTAAGTGAGGTAGCCAGACAACACCTGACCACCACCGAAAAGTGGTCTACCCCCTGAGCCAAGTTCGCTATTTTTTTACACAACTTTAAGGAAGACCTGGCAGACCTGGTGGCTCAGGTGAACATCTTCTCAGATAGTTAGGCGGCAGTTTAGGCGCCCTTGCTCTTCCTTGGTTAGATCGCAACTTGTAGAGAAATGTAGGAGCGTCGGATGAACTAGATTAGTAAATTGGCACCTCGCTTAGGGAAATCAAAAGCACAATTAACGAAAATGACCATTCCAAAGCTAAACAGTGATGGAGTTTACATGATCGCACAGGATTACTAGGCAGCTCTAGAGTGCCCACAACTCTCCAGGGCAATGAAAGAAACGAACAAGGAAAATACCTGCAAACTCACGGCTGTCTTCACAGGACCGTAGGTGTGCAGGCAAAAGGATTGATAAACCTTTCGGCAGGTTACACCGCGGTTTCGAAATTTCGAACTCAAAAAAGACAGTCCAACACTTTTCCAGTGAGTGAGTGAGGTTGAAGACATGGTTGGTCACACCACCAGAAAAGTTTCTTCTACAACGCGATGTTTCAATTTGGAATTCTGTAAAGGATCTTAAACTTTTGCATAAAAAATCGAAATCATTTCTTTGAATTTCTTTAGTAAATTTTAAATAAAAAATTTTGTATGTACACACCGTGCGTAAGCTAAAAATTACCGTCGATTTTTTTTGATTTGTTTAAAAATAAATTGTGTTTATTATATGGAAGCAAATTAAAAAAAAAATCTAAAAAATCAACGGTAATTTTTAGCCACTTGGAACTGGCACACTATTGCACAAAATTGACTGGGCTATAAAACTGTATACTCAAAAAATCCTAACACTTCTGAGAAAAAATTAGGAAATTTTGATGCGAATTTGCTAATTTTTTTTTAATTTTCTACAAAGTTTAAAACTTAGGTTATATGGATTTTTTGTTAGAAAAAGAACTGTATTTTGATTACAAATTCTTAAAAATAAATAAGTAAACACAAATGACAAACAATATCACTTTAAAATGGAGGTGCTATTGCAATTACCGACACTGTATGTACTATGTACCTATAATATATGGGTCCTTTATGTATGAGCATACATAGGTACTACATGCATGTGTAGAAGTTTAATATTTCCTACTGGCATTCAAAACAATACTCGAAGATCTTTGTGCTTTCAGCATACACATACTTTTAGGCGTTTGATATGCACTCAATATGCTTATACGAGCAAGATCAATCAAGCTAAAACACACACACTCATACAACTAGTGAAGCATTAGTTTCAACAATATTGTAGTTTCTCAGAATAAATATTTTATGCCTAGGTTTGTAGTATATCTACAATTTTTGGGGAAAAGATTTAGTATGTGATTTCAATTTCTCGATAGAAAATTACTTCTTAAATATGATAATTTTAGGCAAACAGCAAGGGATTTTGTATTTATCATGTCGTACAAAGTACATGCATGTGTAGGTAAATATTTAAATAAAATGAAGAGTAGTTGATTTATTAGAAATCTCATCGCCAAGATTTCAGCTCATTATTCACATAATCATTATAAAAGTAGTTCCTCTAAGGGCCAGTTTTTCAGTGATTGCACGGTTAAATCCAATTGTGGTTTAAACTTGGTTTAACGCTCGAGCTAACTGGTTTAAACTAAGATTAACTAATCAAATTTCAGTCAGCTGTTAAATATGAACACAGTTTGTGATTTAAATTTCTACTGGCACTAAAATTGTCAGCAATCGAAAAGCAGTAAAAGTTATGCAGCCACTGTATTAAAAACTCCCAAATGCCTCTATTTCGCACACACAAAGCCAAGCGCGCACCCTATATTCAATAGAATTGGTGGGCGTTTTTCTCCAGCTGCACTGCCAAGCGCATCTGCAGTGCACTCTCCCAAATTGGAATTTGTATCTGTGTGTCCAAATTGCCATTGTATTAGTGTTTGATCTGTGTGCGCTTCCAGCGAGAAAACGAGTATGCACAGATGTACACACACACATACATGTGTGCGACAACTCACCACACTTGGTCACACACGGCCACCGGGACTGGAGTCGTAGTCGTCGTCGTAGTCGTCGTCGTTGGTTATTAGCTGAGTGATAATTTCCAGAGCGTTCAGTTGTCTCGAACACCAACAGGTGTTAAAAACGTGTTTGAAAACGTACAGCGGTTTGCGAAAGACTAAGCGGTAAATACTTATACCAGAAGAAATAAATAGATATCTACAAATATACTCTGCTCAGCTCAAAAAACGAACTACTTAAACACAGATAAAGTGAAGATTTTGTTTAACCAAATTGGGACTCATTTGGAGTTTTGTGTATTTTCTAATTTTTTAGTGACGGAAATAGTGAGTTTAAAGACAAGTTAATAAACAAAGGGTGATTTAAAAAACGCTTCTCACCGAGAAAGTTACAATTTAGTGACGTTTATTTTCCTTCTTCCTTTATGTGGTGATTTTCCCTTCTGCATACATTTTTTTTTTGTATTTGCTAACGACAACAGGTTTTCTGAACCATTACTGTATTTCATCTTTCAGAGAAAATATAATTTACAGCACTCCTATATTTGTGGATTACAAATTCAAATAAATAAAAGAGGATAAAAATACTAAACGCAAGCGCAGCAACAGCAAAAATATTTCAAGGTGAGTTACGATTCTTAGAAATATCAAGAATTAATTGAACATAAGTATACCTACATATACTGTATTTTGGTGATATAATTGAGTTAAAACTCGACGAACGAGTACCTACCTACGTGCATTTTTCAGTCTAAAAAGTAAAAGAAAAAAAAACAAAAATAATAACAAAATACTAACTCATAAAATCGTAGTCGTCGTCTGAATCGTTTAGCGAGTTGGCTGGCTGGCTGGTTGTTTGGAAGGTTGTTGAAAGAGCGGCGTCAAATGTCATCAGCTCCAAAAAAAAGGTAGTGTGCTATAGAGTTAACTCTTTCTAGCCTCATACCAATCCATAAAGTGTCATGATTTTCTTACCACTTTTTTTCCACCCATATATGCCTTCGTATGGCAAATCACTACCAGCAAACACATCATCATGGTGGTTACTGCCAACTACTATTTACTACCTTCCTTTCTACCGCTACATATACTAACCGCGTATCTCTCTATGTTTGTTTTTATTGATTCTTCCGATTTTTCATTGCTTTTCTGCTTAGTCGTCGGAACCATTGCTTGCCATTCGTTTGCTTTGTCTGATCGTTTGTTACTGTTTTTTTCCACAAAAACTGATCGCCGTCTCTCGACAGACTGATATCCAGAAATATAATTTCCTTAACGCTCTTGTGACAGACACGCTCTTTATAAATAGGTGAGTCTGAACTTCGTACAATTTCGAGTATAGCTAAATACATACATACTCGTATATGAGTATAGCCAGCTTACTATCGCCTCCGCCGTCACGGATTCCCACCTCACCTTGTGTCCACCAGTTTGTGATGTAGTTGTCATCAATATTGTCTGCCAATAACTGCGTTGCACCCATGCTGGTACATATGTATGTATGTATGTATGTGTACGTACATATGTACATGCCTCCTGTGGTCGAATAGCGTTAAAAATGTTGAGTCGCAATTTTCCATTACAAAAATTCACTGTACAAAATTTTAACTGTTTCAGTATCAAGTTAAAAATGAAAATATAGTCGCTCTGATTGTCTCTATTAAAGATATAAACAATTTTAAATTTGTCAATAGATGGCTACAAATGTGAGTAGTGAGACAGCAGATATTGTAAACGCCCACTAGAACCGCAAGCTCGAAAGGAGTCGAAAGATAAGTCAGTAGTTATTTTGGAAAACAACTCATTAGAGCATATCACTTAAAAACTATTACTAATACAGGGTGCGCCAAATAAGACCTACCTACCTACCGCAGCAGGGCCATAGTTTGCCTAGCAGTGTACGCAGTCGCTCCATCATTTTAGAACCACAAATAAGGATGCTATACAAAAAAAAAAAAAACAAAAAAAAAAATAGCAATATTAAAAAATAAAGAAGTTATACGTGTTTAATATTGGAAGGTCTTATTTGGCCCCCCCCCTGTATTTAACTAATAAGGCATGCAAAAGTCTCAATAAATTAAGTAAAGCAATCATTATATTGAATTAAAATTAGATATCTAAGTGGAAAAGTTTCCCGAAACAATAATTTTTTTAACGTACAGATTATCTAATATGATTAGTGAATACCCCTAAAATTAAAATTTAATTTGTATCTACTAGCTGCATAGATGTATCTTTTTAATTACATATTGTTTAGCAAACCAAAGCGGGGATTTACTTTCAAGCTTTAAGAAGTTCAAGTTGGGAACAGCTTTTAAAAATGGTAAAACTTTACGACCTAGACTTAGCCAGAAAAATTAAAGAATTAAAACAAAAACCTCCTCAAACCCACAGAGCACGATTTTTAGTCACGTATATATTAATAGAATTCAGGCAAAACTTTATCAAGGGCCTTCCCAACGAGCTTGAGACTTTGTAATTTTGTAGTCGATGCTCTAATGCCGTAATTTTGTTTTTATAAACTTGTCGTTTTTTGGTTTACTAGTTTCCAAAATATTTTGGCGGCTAGCTTTATTACTTATATGGTAGTTGGGAAAATGCGATCAGCTGTTTAGTGTATTTAGTCGTCGAATTTTTATATTTTTCATTTAAGTCCAACATCTGTTTATCTTAGTGGAGCAGGAAAATTTAGTAGCAGTGATTTTTTTCACGAACATGTATTTGGCAAATAAAACTAAAACGAGTGAAAAATTTTTTCAGATTTTATTAAATTTATTGTTCACGCCAATGGATAAAAATTGTAGAACCCCCTTTTGGAAATGGCCTACATTTGCCTTCCAGCAACGGCGAATTCAGTGTAGCCACAGATCGTTTGCAGTGCGCACTGCTCGGACATGGGCGCGCTTCAAAGACTCAAACACTTGGATGTCGAGTAGTGCACGCTTCGAGATATTTTATAGTCCAATCGAATTGAGATCTGGGCACCAGACGGTCAATCATCTGTGAAAAACTTGTTTGCTTAAAAATAATTTTTTTTTGTCAGAAAATATTTTGACAGCTTTCTTACAATTGAAAAGAAAATAGTGGCTTTGTTAAGCAGAATCTACTTTAAATAGGTTATCACCAATAAATGTACAAAACTGTCCAAAGCATATAGATAATCGAGTCTTGTAAATGCGTACATATACTATATAGCGGGTGATTTTTTAAGAGCTTGATAACTTTTTTTTTAAAAAAAACGC